ACCTCCCCCCTCCTCCCCCCGCCCTGTGCAGCTTCCACCAGTTCCGCCATATTACCGGTCCGCCCTCCGAGAGGCCATACAACCGCGATGGGTATCGGTACTGTTGGGCCGAGCTCGATCCCCACCTGCCGATCGCGCGCGAGCGCATCCCCCCGGCGGTGGCCCTGTCGTTGGAAGACCGCGCGTCGGTGATCCGCCTGTCGGAGGCCCCTCCCGGGATTGGGGCGGCCCTGCCACCGGGCTTCCATTGCGTGCATGGGGGGGCCGGGGCCGGGCGAGCTGGCTGCCCGGCCGATGCCCCGGCCCCCGACCCCGGCATCCCAAACAACCCCCCGCCCGACCAGCCACCCGGCCCTTGGGAGGAAGATGCGCAGGTGGTTTGCCGCCGGCGAGTGGCCTCCATCGAAACCAGCGGCTACCGGTCCATCCGGGCGACGCACTTTGCCGGCCCCGGGGCCGGGACCCTCTACTTTGAAGTGCGCCTGGAGCCGGCGATCCCGGTCCGGCTGACGGCCGCCAGTGTGCTGGCCAGCCGGGCCTTTCGCGCGGCGGCCGCCGGCTGTGTCTCTCCTGGAGCGTCGCTTTCCTCGGCGCTGGCCTCCAACGACCAGATCCTTGTCACCCTTGAAGGCCGGGTGGTCGGTGCCACCACCAATGCCACCCAGGCGGCATCCATTGCCGCGGCGCACCTGCCATCCCTGCTGCCACCGCCGCCACTGGCCCCGGGGCTGGTGCCGGCGCCTGCCACCTCTGGCGATCTCCCCGCCGGGCGTGCCTCCGGCCGGCAGGCCGACCCGGCCGACGCCCTGGAGGATAGCCTCCCCCGGCCGGCGGTGCGAGTCGGCGTGTCCACCCGCCATGGAGCGCTGGATGCGCCGGTGGGCGCGGATGCCCACGGCTTCGGGCTGGTCCCGCACGCCGGCACCGTGGTGCATGATGCTCGCTGCCGGGCATATGGCCCGCCACTTGGGGAATACCGCGCCGGCGATGTGATCGGCATCCTCCTTCATCTGCCCGGGGGTATGTGAAGCCACGGCAGCCAAGGGTCCTTCGCTGGAATTGCCCGGACCGCCGTCGCCAGCCCCTCTTGCGCTTGCCCGCACGGGCATTCTCTCCTTTCCGCTGACCCCCGCCCCGCCCTCGACAGATCCCGCCCTCGCGGTGGCCGCCCCAGTGGCACGCCGTGAGCGTGTTGTCATTGTCATGAAAAACCACCTCTTCTTCGAGGACCCGGTATGTGTGGTGGCCGCATGCTGTGGGGCCGTTGCTCCTCCGGCTCCGAGCCCCCTCCCGGTGTACTGACCGTCTTCCCACAAGCCCAATGCCCTGTCCACGGTCGAGGACAGCCCCACCGACGGGCAGCCCGGCTCACCAGGTCCCGGCAGCCTGTCCTTCCTGCACAATGGCCGCTTCCTCGGGGAAGCCTTCACCAACCTGCCCCAGCAGCAGCACTTCTCCCCGACAATCTCCCTGTATTACGGCGCACGAGTGTCCGTCAACTTCGGGCCCATCTTCGATCGGCCACCCTGCCGGCAGCAACTTCCCGGTGCGTTGAGAACTCGTGTTCCCGGAGGAGGGCGCTTAGTTCCGCCTGGCAGGGGTGCAGGAAAGGGCAAGAGGCCGGCCGATCCCCAGCCTCTTAGCTTCATGCCATCCTCGCGAGCCGCCTGCTAACTCGCGATCTGGACCCCCTCCCCGCTGCCCCTTTCCAGAACATTTGCGCGAGTGGCGCCCCTTCTCGGAGCGCGTGCGCGACAGCGCCATCGAGTGCACCGTCAACAACCTCCTTGAGCAAGTCCTCTTCCCGCGGGATCTCCGGCAACGGCCCTCTCGGCAGGAGGCCCCGCCTTCATAGCGCGCCCCGCACGCGAGGACCGAGTACATCGGGCAGGAACCGACGCCGCTCCTCTCTACCTCCCTTTTATAGACAGCAGCAAGCAGACTCCCGCGTGGCAATGCGCCAAAAGCCATCAGGCCGACCTCTTTCCTTTCTTATCCTGCCCATGAGGAGGGGAGGGGAGGGGGGGGGGGGGGCAGCAAATTCTATTGGTTCCGGGTGCGCATCGGGCCTACGCGTGGCGCCGAGGCTCCCGGCTTGTGGGGTGCCCTGAAGGACAGGTGAGAAGGAGAGAAAGGCAGGCGGCAAAGTCAAGACATCAGCGTGGCTGCCTCCGGCTTGGATGGGTTGGGCTTGGCGTCGCCAGCGCCAGCGCCGGCAGCAGGGGCACCGACCGTGGTGCCGGCCGCGACCGGGGCGGCCTTCTTCGGCTCGGCCGCGGTGGCTTCCCCCTTGGGGGCCAGCTTACGCTCGGACACCGCCGACACGGGTCCAGCCACCGCCGGAGGAGCGGGCTGCCTGTTGGCAACCAACTTGGCGACGGTCGCGGCGGCGGCGGCGGCAGTTTTGGCCGCCGCCGCAATGGCTGCGCTGACCCTGGTCTTGGCGGTGGGGGCGGCGGTGGGGGCGGCGGTGGGGGCGGCGGTGGGGGCGGCGGGGGGGGCGGCGGTGGAGGCGGCGGTGGAGGCGAGCTTGGAGGCCGTAAGCTTGGATTGCGTGGCGGCCTTGGTAGCGGTGGGCTTGCTTGCAGTGGTCTTGGCAGCCGCAGTGGCCGCCTTGGCAGCCGCAGTGGCCTTGACCGGCGCGGCCTTGGCTGCGAGGGTCTTAACCCCGAGGGCCTTCGCCGCGGTGGTTTTAGCCGCGGTGGTTTTCACCGTGGTGGCCTTGGCTGTGGTGGCCTTGGCTGTGGCGGCTTTCGCCGTGGCAGGCTTGGCCGTGATCGACTTGGTTCCAAGTGACTTGGCTGTGGGCGGCTTGGCTGTGGTGGTCTTCTTCGCCACTGCCACCGGCACCAGGGGACTTGCTGGCGTGATGGCAGGGGCCCCGGTGATCGTGGCGACAGGAGTGGCAGCCGCGGCAGGCACATTCACCGTGACGATGAGCGCGCCGCCGGCCGGAGGGGGCGCCCCCCCGGCAGCGGCCGTACTACTGGCGATCGGCGTGGTGGGGGTCGTCTTCGCGGTCTTGACGGCGCTCTTCTTGGCCATGGCCGTGGACTTGGCCAGCTTGGCGGCCGCGACGCCGGTCGCCCCAGCCGTGACCTTGCTCAGCTTGGGCTTGGCAGTGGCTGTAGCAGTGAGCCCGACAGCGGCCTTGGTGGTCTTGAGCACTTTGGTGGCCTTGGTGGCCTTGGTAGCCTTGGTGGCCTTGGCCAGCACATTGAGCGCCTTCCTCGGCGGGGCAGAGGAGCCGGCCGCGGGCAGGGTGGCTGTGCCGGCAGCAGCGGGAATCGCAGCAGCAGCAGCAGCAGCAGCAGTGGCAATGGCCGGCGAGGAGGAAGCAGCGGAAGCAGGCACGCCAGAGGGATTGAGATTGGGCAAGGCAGATGTCGCGGCGGCGGTGGCGGGGATGGCAGTCGCCGTGGCCGCCGCCGGGGCGCCAGTGCCAGTAGTACTGGCAGTGACGGCCGTGACTGCCGGGGTCTTGCGCCTTTTCGCCGCTGGCAGGGAATCGGCGGCCGAGGCCGAGCGCTTGGTCCCGGCCGAGGAACTGGCCGGCTTGCTGACCGGACTAGCGCGAGTGGCCCCGAAGTTCAGCTTCGTCTGCACGGACGATGCCTTCGACGAGGTGGCGCTCAGAGCACCAGCGGAGGACTTGGCTGGCGACCCCGACGGGGTGACCGTCGAGGGGGCCGCCTTCTTCCGAGGGATCTTCCGCACGGCGGCGGCCTTCGGCACGGCGCCAGTGGCCGGTGGCGGCTGGAGAATGGCCGCCAGGGGGACGCCCTCGGAGGCCGGGGGGGCGTCTGTCCCGGCGGGAGTTGTCCCATCGGTGACCTTGATCCCCGGCATGGTCTTCAGGGTGGTGGACATCGAGGAAACCGGCATGAAGAGACCGATGCGGTTGTGTCGCGAGTGGTGCTGCGTCCTGGTGATGTGCGCCGCCAGGTCTTCGATGCTGAAGCCGCGAAGGGCCGCCACGCTGGTGGAGTCCAGGATGACCTGAAGAAGAGAGACAACGAGGCGCGGGTCAGAGGCGGGGAGGGGGGGGGGGCGAATAGCAGCGAAGAAGGGCCCCGGCGAGCGTTGTGCACAAGTGCCGCACCTTGTCAAAGAAGATGGCCGTTCGCCGTTTGGCGTCCTGGTTCAGCCTGCTATCGAATTCCCGCTGATCAAACCCCTCCGGGATTTGGTCACCCGTGGAGGGGAAGCTTCAAGCACGATCCGCATG